ATTAGGTCGGAGGCGGGGGGGCAGCGGGTAGCGCTCGGCTGCTGATTTGCGCCCCCGCGACCTCCCCGCCTCTTCTAGTTGCTGTCTCCAGCTCGCTCCAACAACGTCGGATGAAAAGGGCGGGGGAAGGGAGCCAGCAGGACAGCACCAGCAGTAAGAGGAAGCAGGATGTATGGTGGGAGCGGTCGGCCCTGGCTCTCACTCAAGCGTCGGCGGAATGATTCCTCCATCCCGTCTCTTTCTCCTCCTTCTCCTCCTCCTCCTCCTCCTCATCATCATCATCATCCTCCCCCTCCCCCCTCCCCGCCTCCTCCTCCGCCGCCGCCTCCTCCTCCTCCTCCTCCTCCTCCTCCTCCTCCTCCTCCTCCTCTCCCTCCCCCTCTTCATCCTCCTCCTCCTCCTCTTCCTCCTCCTCCTCCTCCTGAACCAGTTGAACGCAGCACAGGACTCCCGCATGGACGCAAGAGACCTAGCAAAAACACAAAAGAAGACACTACCTCCCTTGCCGCACCTGGAGACTGCGGCCGAACACAGCACAAGAACTGGGGCCCTTGCCTGCCATCAGCATGGTTAAGGATTTCTCAGCCGCCGAATTACGCGGGTGCTCGGGGCACAGTTCTTTCAGGTACCGACTTCGTGCAACCTCGAACGCCGCGCATTTCCGACACCACACCACGGCCCCAGACGGTCCCGAGCCCATCCAAAGAACACGGGGGCGATGCGCAGTCGCGGCAATTACGGGGATGCTTGGGCAGAGGAAGGTGACAAGTGTTTTTCTGGATCTCGCTTTTCTCCCGTATTCCAAACAAACAAAACTCTTCCTCTCTCTACAGATCGTGTGCCCGTTGGGGTTGGCAACTAATTGAGATGTGGGGTGTCTCCGACGGGCCTCGAGGACTTCGGGGCTCTACACCTCTCTATATCCTTGAGGCCATGACGGGAAATCTCGCCCACCATCAGCCTGAAAAAATGTCTTACTTGCGTTATACCTTTGCATGCCGTCTGGTACCAGCTGCGCTCAGCCTCTGGCTGGGCCTGGAGCTGGGTTCCTTCTCTCGCCAAGCGGTCGGCTTCTCGGTTGCCACGCCAGGCGTAGAAGGGATAGTCTCGCGCGAGAGCCTGATTCCACGACAGGTGAGACTTTATCTTACAAATCCGGATATGATCCCAACCTAAGTCGCGGGCTTTGGCCAAGATTTTCTTCAAAACCTCACCAAACGAAACTCCCGAAACGTCTTCCTCCTCCTCCTCCTCCTCCCACTCCCACTGCTCATGTTCTCCCTCCTCCTCCTCCTCCTCCTTGTCCTCCTCCTCCTCCTCCTCATCATCATCATCATCATCATCATCAGCATCAGCATCATCATCATCATCATCATCATCATCATCATCATCATCATCATCATCATCATCATCATCATCATCATCATTATCCTCCTCCTCCTCCTCCTCCTCCTCCTCCTCCTCCTCCTCCTCCTCCTCTTCCTCCTCCTCCTCTTACTCCTCCTCCTCCCACTCCCCCTCCTCATGTTCTCCCTCCTCCTCCTCATCATCATCATCATCAGCATCATCATCATCCCCCTGGCAGAGGAGGGCAGAGAGTGGGGGGAATATTCGGCCTCCACCTTCCGCACCCTCCGCATGGCAACCGTCGCCGCAGTCACGGTCATTGTGGCCGTCGCGGCGGGCGCCGCTGCGCCGCATCTGCAGCGTGGAGAGTGCGAAAGGAGGAGGCCGACGGGAGGGGGAGCGGTCGGCAGAGGGGGTGGGGCCGGGGCGGCAGGCAGCGAAGGGGGGAGGCGGAGGAGAGCATGGCGCAGAGGCGGGCAGAGGGCGGGAGGCAGGGGGGGCCGTCGCGAGCACGCGTGAGGTGGCGGGGGCTGGCGCCTGCGCCCGTCTGCCAGTGGCAGGGCCCAAGTGGTGCTCTAACGTCGGGGCGCGATTCTGGATGTGGGGCCTCCTGTGCCAGTGTACCCCCCCCCCCCCCAGAGCAAGGTCCCAGAGACCCAGCGGTCCGTTCTGTCCCAGTGGGCCAGCACCACTCGTCGTGCTCTTCCCCCGCGTCCTCATCCAGCCCCACCTCCTCCGCATCTTCTTCCCGCTCGTCCTCGTCCACACCCCTTCGGAACAACAGAAAAAAACAGCGTCGACCCTTGAACCCCATTGAAACCCTTAACCTCCTCTCTAATCCTCATCCTCATCCTCCTCCACCTACACCTTCACCTCTTCCTCCTCATCCTCCTCCTTCGCCTCCACCTCCACCTCGTCCTCCGACTCATCATCATCCTCCTCCTCTGCCTCCTCCTGCTCCTCCTCCTTGTCCTCCTCCTCCTCCGCCTCCACCTCCGCCTCCTCCTTATCCTCCTCGTCCTCATCCTCATCCTCCCCCGCCCGACTCGTCATATTGTTCCTCCTCCTCATCCCCCTCCTCCTCCTCCTCCTCCTCCTCCTCCTCCTCCTCATCATCATCATCATCATCATCATCTTCATCATCAGCAGCAGCATTGTCATCCTCATCAGCAGCAGCAGCATGATCATCATCGTCATCTGCATCAACAACATCATCATCGCCATCAGCACCAGCATCAGCAGCATCATTATCAACAGCAGCATCATCATCGTCATCTGCATCATCCTCATAGTCACCATCACCATCATCTTCAGCAGCAGCATCGTCTACGTCATCATCATCATCATCATCATCATCATCATCATCAGCATCATCATCATCATCAGCACCAGCATCATCATCATCATCATCACCATCACCATCATCATCATCAACATCGTCAGCACCATCATCAGCATCCCCCTTCTCCGTCACCTCCTCCTCATCATCATCATCATCATCATCATCAACATCATCATCATCATCATCATCATTATCATCATCATCACCACCACCATCATCATCACCAGCTTCATCATCAGCATCAGCACCAGCATTATAGACATCAGCATCAGCATCGTCACCATCATCAGCATCAGCAGCAGCACCAGCATTGTCAGCATCAGCATCAGCATCGTCATAGTCATGTTCATCTTATCATCATCAGCAGCATCATCACAATCGTCATCGGCATTATCAGTATCATCAGTATCATCGCTATCACCACCATCAGCAGCAGCATCATCATCATCAGCAGCAGCGTTATCATTAGCATAATCATCATCAGCAGCAGCAGCAGCAGTAGCATCATCGTCGTCATCATCATCGGAATCGATCCCCGAATCGCACCCTGTTCGAACCTTCTCCTCATCCTCCTCCTCATCATCATCTTCCTCGTCCTCATGTTCCTCCTCCTCCTTGTTCTCCTCCTCAGCTTCATCCTCATCGTCATCCTCACCGTCATCATCATCCTCATCATCATCATCATCATCAGCATCATCATCATCGTCAGCAGCAGCAGCATCCTCATCCTCGTCATCGATCATCGATCATTGATCATCGATCCTCGCCCGGCCGACCCGCGGAGCCCGCCCAAGAGAGAGGGGAGGAGATGCAGACTGCAAATCCGAGGGTTGAGGATCCAGGTTCGAGCTTCGAGGATCGAGACCTCTGCACGCGTTCTGCTCTTTTTTGGCCCTCTGGGAGGCTCCTCGCCTACTCGGATGGACTCCCTTCAACTTTCGTTTGCCAGAACGCATGTTTGAAGGGGTCCGGGGCCCGATCCACCGGGGAACGAGGAGGATAAGAAAGAGGATGCGGGGACAGGAGGAGGAGGAGGAGGAGGAGGACCAGAACAAACCCAGGATGGATCAACGACGGTGCAATGCACCTTCCTGTCCCCGAGTCTCCTCCCCATCATGCTCCTCCTCCCCATCCTCCTCCTCCTCCTCCTCCTCCTCCTCCTCCTCCTCCTCCTCCTCCTCCTCTCCTCCTCCTCCTCCTCTCCTCCTCCTCCTCCTCCTCCTCCTCCTCCTCCTCCTCCTCCTGCTCCGTCCCTGCGAGCATTCTTTTGCGCTGGGGCCAGCGCCCCCCCCAAGGGAGACGAGCGCCCCGCGGGCCTGCTAGTCAGGGGAAGACGCCGTCGTGAGAAGGAACCGTCGCCCATCCTTCTCGGGGGCGGCAAAGAGGGGGGTGATGACTAGGGGGGTGGATATCATGGTGGGGGCCATGATATCTCCCCAGATTTTACGGCGCCTCTTCTTGTTTCATTACGTCCCTGGCCCCCCCGCTGGGCCGCGCACATGCCGCCGGTCATGATTTGCGCCCCCCCCCCTTGGACACTCCCCTCTTGGCCGCTCCCGACCTTCTAGCCTTAAGTCAGGCATGTCCGTCTACAGAGGAAGACTCAAATACAGTGAAACTACTAGGGGGACGATGCTTCTACTATCCTTGATTATTTTGTTAGCATGTGTTAGCTGTTTTTGCATTGCTTCCAAAACCCGCCTGTAGGAGGACATGCCCGGCCTATTTTAAGCTATGAGGACTGCTGAGGCCTAGGACCACAGACTGCAATAAAGTGTCAAGCGAGAGCGCCGTCTCGGAAAGAGATCACCTTCCAACCATGCGATTGTTACATTGGCGTTCGGCTTCTGGCATTCAAGCTTGAGGGAAAGTCTTACAGGAAAGAGCCCCTCTTCATCTCGAAAAGGCGTCGCCCCGTATAAAGCGAATGATGTCTCCAGCGAAGAGACCCATTTCGAAAATGAGCCGCCCTGTAGTCATGCACTGGCTGCAAGTGTTTAGGATGGATGCGGGTGGCGCCATGATGAGCGACACATGTTGAAAACGATTGGCCCTCTGGTGAGGAAGTCTCAGACGAGGAGTCCCAAGGAAACGTTGGATGGTCGGGGAGAGGATGCGGACGTCCCAGACGAAACACCAGAGTCTGAAGAGGAGGGAGGAGGAGGGAGGAGGAGGAGGGGGGAGGGAGGAGGGAGGAGGGGAGGAGAGAGCAGGGAGGAGGGATGAGGGAGGAGGGAGGGAGCAGAGGACTGAAGAGGAGGGAGGAGGAGGGCGGAGGGGCCCCCTTCCTTGCCCACCGCCCTTCCCGCAGGACCTCCACGGCGCGACGGCCAGCGACTACCTGGACCGGGGCGGGGTGGGCGGCAGCCCATGCGGGCCAACGGTCTCAGTGCCCGCCCACATCGTTCTCCCCCACCCTCCCTCCCTCGCCTTCTCTTCCCCCCCGTCTCGGGCGCTTTCCCTCCCCTCTCTCCCATCCCCGCCCGTCTCGCTCATTCCGGTTTCCCTCCTCATGTGCCTCCTTCCGTCCTCTTTTCCGCCCCCTCTTTCTTCCACGCTTAAGCTAACTCATTCGCAGGGTCGCTCATAGTCCGTCACTCGTTTCCTCAACGGTGGGTCGACTTTATGTTCCGCCATTCATATGTACAGTCAAATCCACCCATAATCCGAACCATTGATAGTAAAATGTTTGTCATACTCAGACTCATTCAAAGCGCTCGTATTCAGACTCACTCGCATTGAGACTCAACCAGACTCAGTTGCCCAGAATCAGACATGCCCATGCACAATGATATCTATGTATACTCATATCCACTCGTTTGCAGGCTCACTCATATCCAGACTAGCTGTGCTCTGATTCATTCATGCCTGGATTTGATGTACCCAGATTCGCTCATACTCAGACGCATTCATGCGTGCTAGCGGGCATTCCACTCCGGGGCCTCAAAGGGGGAACCTACCAGAGGGGACTGTGCGGGCCCGTTCTCGTCCAGATTTGGACTTACTGGTCGAATGCCAGTTTGGGGAAGCTCCACCATCGCCAGAATCGACCAGCCTTTCACATCCCAGCCTTTCACATCCCCTCCAGACGATGTGATTATGATCAATCCGCGGGCCCCGTTTTTCTCGCCCCAGGTCCATTTCTGAAGGTCCCAGGGTCCAGCCCCTGGGAACCGAAAAGCAAGACGACTGGTGGGATTGCCAAAACAAAATATCCTGGCGAAGGGCCCAAGCATGTGCAGCTGTGGGTATTGCAGTTCTGAGGATTGCCTTCGGTTGAGCTCCCCATGGGACCACGAAACGTGTCAGGGGTGTGTCGAAATGGGCGGGGAACCGCATGCGAGGACGGCCATTGGGGCCTTGGGTGGAGCTAGCTCCCTAGGGGGGCCACGAAGCGTATGGTGGGTGTGCCGAACGTAGACCCCATGCGACGACGGCCATTGGGGCATCAGGCGGAGCTCCATGCGGGACCGCGAAACGTGTGAGGTGTGTGCCGAAATGGGCGGGGAACCGCATGTGAGGACGGCCACTGGGGCATCAGGTGGAGCTCCCTGTGCGGCCACGAAACGTGTGAAGGGTGTGCCGAAATGGACATGCGGCAGGGATAGGAGGAGGGAGGAGGAGGAGGAGGAGAAGAAGAAGAGAGGACGCGGGGCGCTGTCTCTTCAAAACGAGGAACCAACACCACAGGATGGTTGGGAACAAAAAAATTGTGGACGCTAAACTAAAGTCAAAAAACGGTGGGCACAAAAGTAGGTATGGACTGCCCCTACCCCTGGATGTGGGCGACATAATGAATGCCTAAACCCTCAAGTCAGCATGATCCGCAGCAGCGGCGGCGGCGCAGACAGAGAGCCAAGCGACATGTTCCAGCATTCGATGATCCCCAGGACTGTGTGTGCTTTCCCTCGCCCAGCTCCGCCGATAGGACGCAGAAAGCACACGCTGGCGCTACAGTCGGACTGGGGTATAAGATGGAGGTCGGTTCGGGGAGGGTATTGTGGTGCTCTTCGTGTTTGTTGGACGTCCTTGTGCATCCTTGGGAGCGCACCCTTGGAGGTTCTGCTTGTCTTGGCCGACGGAGGGTCTCGTCATCGTGAGGGATGCTATTCTGGCCTGGGTCCGACTCTAACGTTGCGAGGGCCATCGAAGCACGCGCTGGGCCCACGCTCCAGGATCAGATCCCTGCAAGCAGTTGAAAATAAAAGATACAAATAAAAAACTGCAGGCAGTTTAGCGCCCGTGCCCCCCCCCCCTTTTCGGCGCCCGAGAGCTCGGCGGCGGCGGCGGCCGGCCCAGGAGCAGTCCGGGGCGGTGCCGAAGCCGGCGGCGGCCGAGGGCCCCGAGCGGGGCCAGCCGCAGTCGCAGCGGCCGCCCAGCCCGCCCGCCAGCCCCAGGAGCTCGGGCGGCGAGGGCAGCACACGGGGCGTGCCAGACAAGGCCTCGGCTTCAAGTATCGATCGGCCCTGAGATCCTGGCATTGCAATTGTGCCACCACGGGCGTGTTCGCTCCATTTCGGGCCCCAGGGCCCTCACAGATCGATCCGGCCCGAAGACTGCCGCAGAAAGATGGGTCCAGGGCTCCGGTCGTGATGCTCTGCGATGTTGCACATTTGTGCAACGTCGGATCCGCAGGCGTCGTAAGTTGGCGGAAGAAAGGGGAGTTGTCATCTCTTGCAGGGGACTTGTCATTCCTTGCAGGGGAGTTGTGATCACTTGCAGGGGAGTAAGTGGATTTTTTGCCATGTGTCAGAGGAGTCGTCACCTCTTCCTCGGTGGACGGGCGGCGGAAGCTGGCGGAAGTTAGACGAGGGCGGCTCCGCAGGCGCAGACCGGTGAAAGGCTGGCGAAAGCCAGCGGAAGTAGAAGATATGCCTCGACGGCTCGAGACGTCCCTGACGCAGGAGTCAGTCGTGCCACGTGCGGTACCCCAGCGAAGTGCAGCACACTTTGTGCGCGCGGGCAGAGGCAGAGAGAGCAAGGGCGCCCTCGAGGGCGCGAAGCTATTCGCGCTTCGCGCGTCGCGGTTCGGCTCCGATTCCTCATCCTCCTCTTCGCCCCTGGGAGGCTTCGCGAGAACGCGAAGTTATTCGCACGTCACGCTTCGCGCAGCGCGAGGCGCGCAGTTGGGAGCCCTCAGGGAGCCACGACAGTCCCGCACACGCACGAAGCCCGCACGGCCGTGCTACGGCACGGGCGCGGCCCCGCCGCGAGGGCGGGACGCAGTACGAAGCCCACTGCGCACGCCCAGGCGAACCACGCGTCCTCCTCCTCCTCCTCCTCCTCCTCCTCCTCCTCCTCCCCTCCTCCTCCTCCTCCTCCTCCTCCTCCTCCTCCTCCTCCTCCTCCTCCTCCTCCTCCTCCTCCTCCTCCTCCTCCTCCTCCTCATCCTGCAAAGGGGCCCAGGGACACACCAAAGGAAGAGACACGAATCCCAGCATCCCCCTCCCCCCCTTGTGGCAGGGCGGCGCACGCCCAGGCGACACGTGCGCACAGACGCTACGCCGCGCGGCCGAGCATGAAGATGCCGTCTCCGACGCCCACAGGGCACTTCTCAGCAAAGAGAGCAATTGCACGGCAGGTTGGCTGGGGCGCCGCCTTTTTGGTTCTTGGGGGATCTCGTCCCCCGAATGCTGGCCCCCCTCGTGGCAGAGAGCTTGGCACGGCACGGTTCGTTGCCAATAGGTCGTCGCCGGGGGGGAGAAGAATGGGCGACAGCGGAAATGTCGGCCGGGCTCCATCTTCGGGACGCTGCAGCCGGCGGTCTGGCTGGAACGCGCCGATCTCCACCATATCTGGTGTCCCAGAAACGCTCGGTTTTCCCGCTGGCACATTTTCGAAAGGCACCAGCCTCAAGCATGTGTGCGTCGTGTGTCCGACGGCATGTGCAAGGCAGCGAAAAATTAACCTGACGAACGACCCGACCACATACAATTGCGAGCACCGCAGGGCAGGTGATACGAAGGATAGGGGCATTCAAATTACGAGTGGCGTACGGTATGGCCTCTCCTTACAAGCAGCGCGCCACAAAACGGATACAACTCGAGCCGTGCGGGCGCTGGCATTGGGGTCTTCGGCGGAGCTCCATTTAGAGGTGTGCCACAATGTGGCGTGGCCGTCACGCGGGCGCTGCCACTGGGGCCGTCGGTGGAGGTGCCCATGGGGCCAGGAAACGTGTGAGGGATGCGCCAGAATGGACCCGAGTCCGCATGTGGACCCTGCCACGGGGGCCTTCGGTGGAGCTCCCCTTGGGGCCACAAAACGCGTGAGGGGTGCGCCAAAATGGACCCGAGTCCGCATGTAGGCGCTACCATTGGGGCCTGCGGTGGAGCTACCTGTGGGGCCACAACGCGTGTGAGGGGTGTGCCGACATTGGGCTAAAGTTGCACGCGAGGACGGCCATTGGGGCCTTCGGCTGATCTCCCAACAAGACCACGAAACGTGTCAGGGGTGTACCAAAGTGGACCCGAGTCCGCATGCGGACACTGCCTCTGGGGCTTCGGCGGAGATCTTGATGGGGCCACGAAACACGTGAGGGGTCTGCCGAAATTGGGCGGGTACCACGTGCGGTCCCTGCCACTGGGGCCGTCGGTGGAGCTCCCTATGGGGCCACGAGGCGTGTGAGGGGTGTGCTGAAATGGGGCGAGCACCGCATGTGGACCCTGCCGCTGAGGCCTTCGGTGGAACTCCCTATGGGGCCAGTAAACACGTGAGGGGTCTGCCGAAATTGGGCGGATAACCGCATGCGGCCTTGCCATTGGAGCCTTCGGTGGAGCTCCCTTCGAGGCCACGACGCGTGTGAGGGGTGTGCCGGCATTGGGTGGGTACCGCATGCGGACCTTGCCATTGGGGTTGTCGGTGGAACTCCCTATGGGACAACGAAACGTGTGAGGAGTATGCGGACATGGGGCGGGTTACCACATGCGGATTTTGCCATTGGGGCCCTCGGTGGAGCTCCCTGTGGGGCCACGAATCGTGCGAGGGGTATGCCGACATTTGGCGGGCACCGCATGCGGACCCTGCCACTGGGGTCTTCGGTTGGGCTCCCTATGGGGACACGAAACTTGTGAGGGGCGCGCCGAAATTGGGCGGATACCGTATGCGAACCTTGCCACCAGGGTTGTCGGTGGAACTCCCTATGGGACAACGAAACGTGTGAGGAGTGTGCGGACATGGGGCGGGTTACCACATGCGGACTTTACCATTGGGACCTTCGGAGGAGCTCCCTATGCTACGCTGGCTTCTGGTGTGGTTTTCCGGTTTTGCCTTTTCTGCGGCCCTGCTTTCTTCGTCTTCCTCCCTTCTCCTCTTCTTGCCGGTTTACTTCTGGGATGTTGCCCGATATTGAGCCACTGGTCAGTCTCAGCCGAGCATCGCCGCGGAGTGCATGTGTTACTCGAGTGATGCTGTGGTCCCCCATGTCCGATTCGTCCCCTCTGCTGTCCTCCTTCTTGCCCCCTAATATGCGCTGGATAGACAGATGGCACGCTGGCGCCATACTATGGCCATGCCTGCGCCATATTCTTGACGCTTCGCGCATCCCCACCAGCCCGTCCAGCAAGGATGCCCAGACGAGTTGCCCTGATCAGGGAAGCGGGGGGAGGGGGCAGACAGAAAAACAAGAAGGCTCGGGAAGCCTTCATACCCCAACGGGGGGAAGATGGAGGATGAACCGGAGGAAATGGGGGAGGACACGGAGGTGGGGGATGGGGGGGGAGGAGAAAGGAGGAACGGGCAGGACGGAGAAGAGATAAGAAGAGGCGGATAAGGACGAGGAGGGCGAGCAGAAGGGCGAGAGTCCGTCTGGATGCTCCCACGGAGTCTCTTCTTGAGATGTCTTTCGGGAGCTTCTCGGAGCCCTTTTGGAGCGTCTTGGGGGCCTCTGGGCTGTCACTAGGACCTCTGCGAGCGTCTTCGGAGCCTCGGGGGAGCCTCTGGGGCTTCTGAGGGGCCGCTCGGGAGCCTCGAGGGGGCTTCCTGGGGGTCTCTTGAGGCCCTGTCGGGGCACTCTCGGGAGCCATGGGGGCCCTCTGGGAGGCTCCGGAGGGGGGTGGGTGGGGTAGAGGAGGGGGGTGGGCGGGGGGGGGTCGAGGGGGTGCGGACGGGGAGGGTGGAGGGACGCGGAGGGGGGGTGGGCGGAGGTGTGGGCGGGCCATGCTATTGCCATACAGCTGCCATGCCGTTGCCATGCTGCTGCCATGCTGTTGCCATGCCGTTGCCTGGCGCATGCCATGCCGTTGCCGTGCCGTGGCCGGGCCGTTGCCTTGCTGTTGCCATGCTGTTGCCATGCGCTTGCCGTGCCGTTGCCATGCCGTGGCCGTGCTGTTGCCATGCTGTTGCCATGCGCTTGCCATGCCGTTGCCATGCCGTGGCCGTGCTGTTGCCATGCTGAAGCCATGCTGTTGCCAGGTTGTTGCCATGCGCTTGCCACGCCGTTGCCATGCCGTTGCCACGCAGTTGCCATGCCGTTGCCATGCTGTTACCATGCTGTTGCCATGGGGCTGCCACGCAGATGGCCATGCGACTGCCACGCAGATGGCACGCAGTTGCCATGCCATGGCGGAGGCGTTGCCATGCAGTTGCCGTGCGCGTGCCATGCGCGTGCCATGCCGTGGCCGCGCTGTTGCCATGCCGTTGCCATGCTGTCGCCATGCCGTTGCCATGCCGTTGCCATGCGCTTGCCATGCCGTTGCCATGCCGTGGCCGCGCCGTTGCCACGCTGTTGCCATGCTGTTGCCATGCTGTTGCCAGGTTGTTGCCATGCGCTTGCCACGCCGTTGCCATGCTGTTGCCACGCAGTTGCCATGCCGTTGCCATGCTGTTGCCATGCCGTTGCCATGCGGTTGCCATGCCGTTGCCATGCCGTTGCCATGCGCTTGCCATGCCGTTGCCATGCCGTGGCCGCGCTGTTGCCATGCTGTTGCCATGCCGTTGCCATGTTGTTGCCATGCCGTTGCCATGCCGTGGCCGCGCTGTTGCCATGCCGTTGCCATGCCGTGGCCGTGCGGTTGCCATGCCGTTGCCATGCCGTTGCCATGCTGTTGCCATGCCGTTGCCATGCCGTTGCCATGCGCTTGCCATGCCGTTGCCATGCCGTGGCCGCGCTGTTGCCATGCTGTCGCAATGCCGTTGCCATGCTGTCGCCATGCCGTTGCCATGCCGTTGCCATGCGCTTGCCATGCCGTTGCCATGCCGTGGCCGTGCTGTTGCCATGCTGTTGGCATGCCGTCGCCATGCTGTTGCCATGCCGTTGCCATGCCGTTGCCATGCGCTTGCCATGCCATTGCCATGCCGTGGCCATGCTGTTGCCATGCTGTTGTCATGCCGTTGCCACGCTGTTGCCATGCCGTTGCCATGCGCTTGCCATGCCGTTGCCATGCCGTGGCCGTGCTGTTAC